GGTGTAAGGGCTGAGTCTGGGTCTTCAGATCACGCCCGAACGATCGTTTGCCGTTCTGGTAGACGTTTTGTTGTGGGTTTATCCTACCTACACTAGTAGCTAGAGTTGCCGTGGCAACTACAACAGCCATCGACAATTGACGCTCGTGTGCATCAGGAGGTGATTGCCTACACGGTGACAACACTTGTGTTACTTTTTAAAATAACACCGGTGGGGGCACACTTACACGTACTTTAAGCAATCGCTTGTGACTCTTGACGCGTGATTCTGCAGATATGGATTTCCCAAGGAAAGGGTGGAGGACACAACATGTTTAGCATCGAGGATTCAACTTGGTCGAACAATTGGGCATGTCTACCTTCAAATGCAACCACTCTATCCAAGTACTTGCCGGTGGTCGTGAAGTTACTCACAGAATTCATTCTTGTTGTACGTATGTCACCAAGCAGCATCTAAGGCTTGATTCGGTGGTAGCGGTCGCTTTAGGGTATAGCAAGTTGAGCTCAAAAGGTAAATTGAGATGTGCGATTTAGCGTTGGAGTCCTTCAGATATGCCCTACCGACTAATCCTCATGGCTAGCAGCCCCTGCGCTTGATCCTCCATTCAGCGTGCCGTTTCTCCGCCAATCGCTGCTGCAGAGGCGTGCCTTCGTCCACTCCAGTCTGTCGGCGCGTGCCGCTCGTACAATGCTGCAGTCGGCACTTGTCCGGCTTCGTCCTCGGCACACGCCTTGCCAATCAGCGGGTGCTCCTACCGCCGGAGACCAGAGCTGAGATTGGAGGCTATGTACAGAGACTGGTAACTCGAGATCCTGCAGAGGTCGGTGGTGACGGCAGCATACCTTGCTGGCAGTGTCGTCTGGAGACAGCGCCCTGGTGGCGCTCAACACAGGGGGGGGGGGGGTCCAAGCGCCACCAGGAACGTGGGTTACTGGAGAATATTACGCCGGGTAGTGCTGCCGACAAGAAACTCGCATCTGCGAGAAAGACGATAGCCTCTATCGTGTACAGCATAACAAACCGACATGAGGTTGCAGGCTCACTGGCTGCATTATACCTCTACTGCGGCTCGTGTTGCTATGCTAGCACAATTTGCGTAACACTTCCACTGGGCGATATTATTTGACAGTTGTGTGCCAAGGAGGAGTACTCGTGTTGTCTTGTCAGTGAGTGCAATTATTTTGGAGGGCAAAGTTTTCAATCGGTATCCAGCCTTGATGATTATATTTTTTGACATTCGTCACTGAGTTACGTTAACCTCAATGAGTTCTCAACAAATTTCTTTCGAAAGAAAGTCTCACAGGTAAAAGACGCACGGCTTGGCTTTTTGGGTGGACATCCACTTCACAGAACACACAGTCTAGGGGAACGGTATTCTAAGGTAGTTCCAATTATAAATCGCTATCGGCTGCCTTTAGTTGGACTCGAATCGTCAATGGAATATCGATTCAATCGCGCTATGGTTTCACTGGTATTGTTTAAACCATTTCGATCGGTAGCCGATTTAGTCGGTGAAGGAACTTGGTCTATTGCAGCATGGCTATTTGCATTTGGCCAGTGGGAAACTACTATATCTGAGTTTGTTATCAGAGTGATGAACAACATCGACGATTACTATGTCGGGCTTCAACACGCCAACGAACACAGAGGTGAGATTGTCAACTCCGATAAGCATGACGGTACTACAAACGTGCAGAACGGCTATAGCTCAGATGACGATGACTTTCATAGTGTCGATACTAACCCGTCTCTCCTGGCTCTGACAGCCACGATGTCAGCTCTGTACCAGATACCATTTTCCTGATAATGCAAAATAGTACGTACTTCTACATGTACGGCTGGAACAGCCATGTTCCGCTACAGTCAAGCCAGACGCTTCTCGAGCTGAACAAAGGTGACATTCTCATTCTCCGTGGTGATTGCAGTTTTGCAATGGCCCGCGGCGTGGCTACGAACACGGTAATTCAGGTGTACATCGACACGCCGCAACTCGTGCGACCCTACTATTAGGTGCCTGACTACATGGACATTCAAGGTGGCCATCGTGGTGATGATGACCAGGTATTTTGTTTCGCGTGGAACTGCCCCTTTGTTGCTGGAAGCAAGTAATCGCTCTACAAGCACCTCAACACCTACCACAGGTTCTTCTTCAACCCGCCACGGGACACCAGTGTGCGCCAACAACTGCTTCACGCTCAAGTATGGCTCCTCCTCGGCGACTTGTTCAACAAGCGCTCGACACCAGTCTACCGCCACAAATGCACGCCTACCAACGGCTCTTCAAGATTGAAGGTGTCAAACAGTCAGTGGTGAAACTTTGTTTTCCTTGCATTTGGGCTTGGCATCGTCGCCAGTCTGTTAATTGCAATCCATGTTGCTGCTTTCAATCACAGTTGCCAGTACCAGTAAGGATTAAGCACAATGATAGCGTACAACAAGATTCATGTATGCTGTCCAACATACACAGATTGTATTAGATATGCCAGGTGTAGAGTTGTAGCCAATCAGAGGCAGGCTCAGTTTAACTTAGATTCAGTATGCAATACAGAAAAACAGATGTAAGGCGGCCGTGGAACCTTCTAGAAGGTTCCATTCGCCTGAACTGTGGGGGGCGGCACTTATCGTTTCGCGCGCCCTCCCCTAAGCTAGTGTTTCCTGAAATACAGATGTATCTGCGTATTAATCCCTTCAAACCGGGGGATTTTATGCTGACGTAGCGCTGTATATACAGCGTGAATATAT